GCATGGGGGGTGGTAGCGGAAGAGAAGGCTAGAAATTTTCCATTCATGCTTTAAACATCTCAGGCCCTGCAGCCCTTTTTGCGTCTCCAACCAAGGGATGAAATCTGGAAAAGCCAGTCAGATCCCAAGACCTGTAGGTGCTTTGATTAAGCTCCTAGGCTCCCACAGCAGGATGCTTATGGTCTCTGAGATGGTGCCATCCTCCTTACGCTCTGCCTGCTCTTTTGTTTTGAAGGGCAAAGAGTTTATTTCACTCATTGCGGGTCTCACCGCTGTGGTAAGGCTACTACATCTGCGGTCGGCAGGGTCAGTGCTCCCCTCGAGCGAGAGCCCGCCGACTGGGAGCCTGGCCTTAGCAGGTGTCCTGCTGAGGCTCATCTGCTCCCTGTTTGCACCCTCTTTGAGCCGGCAGAGAGCGCCTTCCCAAGGCTTAGTCCCTGCTCCTGGCATTATGGCCAAAGGCGGATGCGACGAAGCAGGAATCAGTCAGGTGTCTTGACCCGTCCCTAGGAAGGGAATGCCCGATCTGAGCCCCTCAGGTGATGAAGACGACACCATGTGGCAGGTGGAAGACCACACTTCACACATGTTTCAGAAAGCTGACTTCGAGCAGAAGACTGTCAAACAACATTGTGCCCACCCTCTGCCTGTGAGGAGGCGGAAGAGTAAAGCTAGGGTTTTTGTGAGTAACAGTGAGAGAGGAAGACAGAATATGTGTTCCCCTTCACAGCAAGGCTTTATTGGAAATGGTGTTCCAGCAACACGCTAAACAAAAGGCAACACTACAAGAAAACATCAGGCGGAAACTGCCCTAACTTTAGTGTTGGAAAATGGACAGTAACATAACTTGTACGGAGAGGAGCTTAAATTGTCCTGACAGGCAGAGGCTAAGGAGCTCTGGGTAATTTCCCACAAGGCAGCGCGGACAGTAGGGAGAAGCTGGCCTGGGGGACGAAGGGAATGAGAAGGCGTGGGGAGACGGCGTGCTCGGTGGTAGACACATTCATTTATTTTAAACTGGCTTTCAGGGGCGCCCGGGTGGCTCAATCGGTTGAGCGTCCAACTTAAGCTCAGGTCATGATCTCGTGGTTTGTGAGTTCAAGCCCCACATCAGGCTCTGTGCTAACAGTTCAGAGCCTGCTTCAGATGCTGTGTCTCCCTTGCTCTCTGCCCCTCCCCCACTCATATTCTGTCTCTCTCTGTCTCTGTGTGTGTGTGTGTGTGTGTCTCTCTCTCAAAAATAAACATTAGAAAAATTTTTTAAAAAAAGACTGGTTTTCAAAAGCTAATTCCCTGTTCTTCTTAGGATCAACTCAATCTCACTTGTTATGGCATTTGAGACTCTCCTCATGGTATTTAGGGAGCCATTTGGGGAAAGTGTCTCCAAAGGCAGTTGCTCTCTTCCTGCCACAACCAGTCTAATCACCAGGGGAATATCTTGGAGTTAGTTGTAACTAAATCTGCTCAACTGAAAGAATAAGTCCCAATGCTCCCCTCATTTCTTCATAACCTCATTGAACAAGTATTTTTTGGCCCCATTCTGTGCCGGGTACCATGCTGAGTGCTGGGAGTGCAACAGCAAACAAAACCAACAAGGTCCCAGCTCTCACAGAACTTTCCAGCTAGTGACTGGCTCTGAGACAAAGGCAGACTGATACAAGGCAGGGTGATGAACTCATTTCCGGGGAAGCACAGGGCACAGTACTGTGGACCACAGAGCTGGGGCCCCCACACAGAGAGTTTCAAAGAGAGGCTTCTAGAGAGTCTAGAGCAACCCAGGAATTGAGATCTGAAGGCTGCTTAGGAGGGAGCCCCATGACAGGGAGGAGGGCAGGAGAGGCTAAACAGACAGAGGACAGGCTCCAAGATAAGAGAGCCTGTGGCCCATGGGAATAGTGAGACAAAGTCTGTTTTACTAAGGGTCCACTGGATTTAGGGGATGCACGGCAATGCTGAGCAGTCGATGGGACCAGGTCATGCACGGCCTCGTCCACCTTGTCAAGATGTTGACAAAAGGCATTGGGAAGCCACTTAAAGGCTTCAACAGAGCACTGATATTATCAATGTGCATTAAAATGAGTCTGGCTGCAGAATGAAGACAAGATTGGAGGGGCAAGAACGGAGATACAGAAACCAGTGTGGGGGGTTGTTTCGGTAGTCCTCATGAAAGATGACAGTGACATGACTAGGGTATCGGCAACGGGAATGGAGAGAAGTGCATGGATTCCAGTAATGCTTTGAAAAGAATCTGCAGAACTCAAGGACTGACTGGAAGAGGGGGGTGAAATTGGAAATGACTCTTGGTTTTCTGGCTTAATTAACTGAGTGCATGGTGATACCACTCACTGAGATAGAGGACACAGGAAGTAAAGATAGTTTGGGGGTGGGAATGGAGATAGAAGCAGGATGAGGGGTTACATTTAAGATATGTTGAGTTTGAGCAGCTTAATAGATATGCAGTTGGGTATTAGGATCCAACACTTAGATCTGGGCTGGAGCTATTGTTGTGAGTCATTTACGTGGCAGCTAAAGCATGGACGTATATAAGGTTGCTCAGGGAAAGTGCAGTTAAGTCAGGAGAGGGCCAGGACAGAACCCTGGAAACAACCATATTGAAAGGAGGGGTAGAGAAAGATGAGCTTGCAAAGGAGAACGAGAAGAAGCAACCAGAGGTAAGAGGGAAGCCAGGAGAGTGTAATTATCATAGAAACTAAGAGAAGAAAATGCTTCAAGAAGGGTCCATGGTCCCAGGACTGCTGAAAGATCAAGTAAGTTAAGGACTGAGAAGTACCATCCAGTCTGAGCAATTAAGGAGGCTGTAGGCGACCACGGACAAAATGTGTAAGTGGAGTGATAGAAGCAGAAGCCTGAGAAGAGTGGCTTGGAGATGGAATAGAAAGCAAGAACTTGGGGTAGAAAGGGAAGTAAACCCTTTCAGTAAGTTTGACTGTGAATTAGCAGTTGGCATAGGCTAGTAGAAATGGGAAGTTGATGGGGCACCTGGGTGGCTCAGTCGGTTAGGCGTCCGATTTCGGCTCAGGTCATGATCTCGCAGTTTGTGGGTTTGAGCCCTGTGTGGGGCTCTGTGCTGACAACTCAGAACCTGGAGCCTGCTTCGGATTCTGTGTTTCCCCCACTCTATTTCTTCCCCCTCCCCTGCTCACACTCTGTGTCTCTATCTCAAAAATAAATAAGTGTTTAAAAAAAAAAAGAAATGGGAAGTGGACATGTGGTGGGAACTATTTAATAAGTGTTTTCAGGGGGGCCTGGGTGGCTCAGTCGATTGGGCCTCTGACTCTTGATTTCGGCTTGGGTCATGATCTCATGGTTTGTGAGTTCGGGCCCCATGCTGTCTGTGCTGACAGCGTGGAGCTTGCTTGGAATTCTGTCTCCCTCTCTCTCCGCCCCTCCTTCTGCCTCTCTCGCTCTCACTCTCTCTTTCTCTCTCTCAAAAATAAATAAATGAATGTTTTTTAAAAAGATAAACTCAGCTTTTAAAAATATTAAAAGTAAGTATTTTCTTTCAACGACAAAAGAAACTTGAACACATTTTGTGCTGATGGAAGGAGCCATTTACAATAGAGGCCGAGGTCGGACTCCACAGAATCTCATCTCTGAGAAATAAAGAAAGTGGAAGAGTTACAACGGCACATAGCGAGGGATAGTCTTAAACCCAAGCACACGTGGGGAGAGAGTCTTTAAACCAGAGGAGGGATACGTCCTCCACTTTAATGGTAAAGAGGGATGGTTGTCAGTACAGGTTAGTTCCTCTTTGGTGGCTGAAAGTTGACACATCTGACAGGTTCTCTTTCCTTTTTGAAGGTGGAAAAAAGGTGATCCGCTGAGAAGGAGGGGGGAGGCAGAGGAGGAGGGGTGGGGAGATACTCTATCAAAAAAGAAACAGAAAGATGCCCAGTTATCCTGGAATTTTATTGTGTCACCAACCTGGTTTTCTTTCTTTCTTTTCTTTTCCTAGTAGAATTCAACAGCCAAGGGTGCAAAAAGCAGACAGGTAGCTTCATGGTACCCCAAAGCCAGCTGAACCAGAATACAAGATTTTGCCTATATATTCCTAAATTTTACTTCCATCAAAAGAAAGAAAATATTTTCTGGTGCTTTCAGAAGTACTCCCATAATGTTTAACACCCACTGTGCTTTTGGAGAAGCTCTTCTGTATTCAAGATGCTCCACTCCCAGCCCTGTGACTGCCCCTTCTCTTAAACCCTTTCATTCCCTCTCTTAGTTGCCCCTCTCTGGAGCCCTTATGTCCTGCCTATCAACCTCCCACCTCTTCCTGGAGAAGAATCTAATGTTTAGAGCACCTACTATGTATCAGACGATTATACTCCCACAAGAGGGGAGAGACATTATCCCTGCTCTTACAGAAGAGGAAGTGTAAGCTAGGAGAACATAAGGTCACATGGCTACAAAATGACCAAGTGGGGATTAGATCCCAGTCTGTCTGACTCCAAAACCCATTACTCTATATGCTATAAGCTCCTGGGGAGCAAGGATAGGATCCATCATTACATACCTCATGGGAACTCAAACAGCACTTTGCACATGGAAGATGCGTGGTAAATATTATTGATTTGAACTGTGACCCGATTCCCTGAATATCTTTAGTGCTCTGGCATTTCGGACGTGCCCGACTTTCTCAGAAGAAGCCAATCCACTCTGCTTCGTAAAAGACATGCTCTTTACAATGCAATGGCATTTCCTATACGAGGTTTACATTGTTAACAGGAAGATAACAAAATGAAGGGTTTGCTTTCTTTCTCTAGATGATTTTTTTAAATTTAATAATCCCATCAGAGGATAATCCCTGATGGGATAATAATCCCATCATGGACCCAAGAAGGGTCCATGGTGCCAGTACAAGTCAGACTGATAGTGTCGACAAAGAAATCACGCAACATTGTGTCCCATGCAATCACTATAAAAGATGAACAGAAACGTGACCAAATTCCAGCTGAAACCATCCTCTTTTCCTGTTTCAGGAGTATAACATGTATGGCTGGTGGGTAGGAGAACTGAACAGCCTCATTGGGATTGTTCCAAAGGAGTATCTCACCACTGCCTTTGAGATGGAAGAAAGATGAAGCCCAGGTATCAGAACTATTGCCAAGGAGTCTGTTGGCCATGCCGTCATTTCTCTGGGAAGAATAAGAATTGCCAGTGAAGTGGCTTTTCTTCATGATTTCATTGACATAGAAATTTTATTTTTCTCTTCTGCAAAAATCTGGAGGTTAATGATCCAAGGTATCAGGTCCCAGATATCTTCTTTTTTTGCTCCTCTCGTGTGTGGCCAGCATTCTAAAACTTACCTCAGGGCCCAAGACGAATGCCGCAGCTCCAGCTATCATGTCTGTACCCTGCCCAGCAGGAAAGATAAAATGAAAGAAGGGCACAACCGCTCGTTTTAAGGACATTTCACAGATGCCGCACACACCCCTGCTTGCATTCCATTGGCCAGAAGTTGGACAGATAAGACTTATTCTAGGTAGAACCTGTGTCCAGCTTAAAAGTGAAGTGGGGAGAGGATTTGTTAATAAAAGGGGAGAATGCATATTGGGGAACAACTAGGAACTTCTGCCACAAGACTGGGTCTGGGTTTCTTTACCCCCTGTTCCCAAATCCAGAGCACCATTTCCCCCAAATGCCCACGTATTACAATATGACTGGCCAAGACTAGGACTCCAGTATGAGGATTCCCATGAAACATAATCAAATTAACTTTTAGGTAATAAAGAACATGGCTTGTGTTTTATGAGCAAGAACCACATCATATTTAAAACAGTGGCGTGAGTGCTTGCTTTGGGCGGGGTAGCAGTAGGAGTTGCTCTGGAACCGCGTGGCTTTGGTTTAGACTTAGGATGGCCCTGGAGGGTACCCACGCTAGCATGGTGTCGCGAGCTCCATCTTCCAGCCTAAAATGGGAGCTTGTGTGACAGTGACACACAGACTGTCCTTGGAACCTTCCAGACCAGGGCCACTCTAGTGTGCAGCAGCGGCTGCATGGATTCATTTAGGGAGATACATAAGTATAGATCTTACTCTGCGATGCCCTTGTACAACCGTAAAGCACCAGCTCAGGCCTGTCACTCAAGGTTTGACTGTATGACTTTCCTGCTGAGGACTTCATTTCCTGGCCACGAATGCAGAAGAGTTGGGCTTTTGCCGTCAAATCTAAACAGATTCACTCTACTTTGCTTTGTCATTTATTTAATGACACTGTCGTTTATCTCCTCATTCTCTCTGACTCAACAATTCTACATCTAGAAGTTAATCCTATAGCTACATTTGCACACGCACAAAAGGATATACACATGAGGCACCTGGCTGGCCCAGTCGGTTCAGCATGTGACTCTTGATCTCGGGGTTGTGAGTTCAAGCCTCACATCAGGTGTAGAGATTACTTAAAAATAAAATCTTAAAATACACACACACACACACACACACACACACACA